GCGGGTGGATCACGAGGTCAAGAGATCGAGACCATCCTGGTCAACATAGTGAAACCCCGTCTCTACTAAAAATACAAAAAATTAGCTGGGCATGGTGGCTCGTGCCTGTAATCCCAGCTACTCAGGAGGCTGAGGCAGGAGAATTGCCTGAACCCAGGAGGCGGAGGTTGCGGTGAGCCGAGATCGCGCCATTGCACTCCAGCCTGGGTAACAAGAGTGAAACTCCGTCTCAAAAAAAAAAAAAAAAAAAAAAAATCTTATTTATTTATTTTTATGATGCTATTACTAGGATATGGCTTTTTATTAGTCACAAATTATGTTACCTATTTTCTCAAACCCCCAAACCTAACACAAATATTCAGAGTATGAGCTACACTTGGATTGCTACCCATAATAACAATTCTGAAGTCAACATTAATATCCTATCTTTTTTCTATTATGTCAGTTATTTGTGGTATAGGGAAGTAGCAAGAGGCAACAGGAGCATAATTTGAATTCTGAATTATAACATTCCGAAATGAACATAATTCTTACTTACCATTGGCTTTGGAAGTGAAAGGTAGCCATACTTCTCTCCTACAAATAACATATATTACTTAAAATTTTTTTCTATTATTCACATTTTAAAGTATTAATTAAACAAACAGGAATGTTAGTACATTAGTTTTGTTAACTTAGTCTATTAATTACATAAAATTCAGAAATAAAATTGTAATTTGGCTGATGAACATGAAGACTCTCAACAGCTGCATGTCTAAGGTACTATGCTGGCCAATCTCCACCTCTCCCAACATAAAGGGAGAAATCAAATGTCCCACTGACATTTACTGTCACTCACAATCAGCTTCATTCACAGAGTGCTCCTTTTACAGCAGCTGGCCTCTAATGAAACCTGATTCCTCTTTTATCAGTACCAGTATCAGCACTGCTTCCATTTCTGAAAAGTACCAGACCAAATAATTCATAACTAACCTCATAATGTATTCTTTCAGTCAGGGAAGAAGAAACCCCTCTCTACAAGATAGGAAGATGAAATAAAGCAAATAACAGGTTTCTTTGGCTGTGAACTGACACATGGCATGAAACACGATAATGAGAAGGAAGAAGATGGGCAATGCCCACATCATCCCTGCCCCATCTATCATTTTGCAACTTCCAGATCATGTATACAGTCAGGTTACAATGAATAATAGCCTTTTTATAAAAGCTAGTTTGTGATATCTGGGGTAAAAATTCAAGAACTAAACAGTAATTGTGTCTTGAAGAAAAATTGCTTCTTCAAGGAAAACAAGTATATTCAGCTATAATAGATTAGTTTAAACCATATGAAATTGCTGGTTTTCAACCATTTTGAAATTTCATATGGTCCAAACCAATAAAAGTAAACATAAGAGCACTAAATCACACCTTTTCTTATAGAATGACTATTACATGAAATGGGCAAACCTGTTAGTCTCACAATAGTTTATACAAATATTTAAAATTTCACCTATAACTGTGCTATTAAATACTAGCCACATGTGACTACTGAGCACTTGCAATGTGGCCAGTCTGTACTGAGGTGTGCTATAAGTGTATAATACATAACAAATTAGGCCGGGCGCGGTGGCTCACGCCTGTAATCCCATCACTTTGGGAGGCCGAGGCGGGTGGATCACGAGGTCAAGAGATCGAGACCATCCTGGTCAACATGGTGAAACCCCGTCTCTACTAAAAATACAAAAAATCAGCTGGGCATGGTGGCGCGTGCCTGTAATCCCAGCTACTCAGGAGGCTGAGGCAGGAGAATTGCCTGAACCCAGGAGGCGGAGGTTGTGGTGAGCCGACATCGTGCCATTGCACTCCAGCCTGGGGAACAAGAGCGAAACTCTGACTCAAAAAAAAAAAAAAAAAAAATAAAAAAAATTACATAACAAATTTTGAAGATGTAGTACAAAGGGAGGAAAAAAAAAATTTAAAATATATTAATAATTATATACTAAAATATTCATTATATATTTAAATGGTATTTTGGATATTTAGATTAAATGAAAACTATTATTAAAACAAATTTCACATGTTTTTAATTTTTCCTGTGCCTACTAGAATTTTATATTTTATTTTTTGAGACAGGGTCTTGCTCTGTCACCCAGGCTGGAGTGTATTGGTGGAGATCTCAGGCTTACTGCAGCCTCAACTTCCTGGGCTCAGATGATCCTCCCACCTCTGCCTCCTGAGTAGTGGGGACCACAGGCATGTGCCACCAGGTAATTTATTTGTATTTTTTTAGAGATGGGGTCTCACTATGTTGCCCAGGCTGGTCTCAAACTGTTTGGGCTGAAGTGACCTTCCTGTGTTGGTCTGCTGAGATTACAGGCATAAGCCACTGTGCCTAGCCTAGAAAATTTTAAATTACATATGTGTCTCACATTCTGTTTCTCTTGGACAGTGCTGATCTACAAGAAGAACTGTTGCTAAGAGTGAGTTAATGGGTACTTGGGAATAGCTTTATGATTCAAATCATTTCCTTGTAAGGGAATTTTATTAATTAATGGCTCTCTGATCTCAGAATGGTGAGGAAGAAAAACTTAAAAAAGAAGAGGCTATTTTCATGCCTTGTCTCCAAGCTCTGATGTAAAAAGTGCCTGATTTAGTTCCAAGATTAACAGAAGATGGTCTTCAGGTCACTCAGATTTTCAAACTTCATCTATCTTAATTCAAAGTCTGAATCCTGTCCATAATATGCTTTAAAAGTGGTCTTAGCATATTATAAAAGGAACATTAAGCAGAAGTGGGAGGCTGGGTGTAGTGTGGTGGCTCATGCCTGTAATCTTAGCGCTTTGGGAGGCTGAGGCAGGTGGATCACCTAAGGTCAGGAGTTCAAGACCAGCCTGGCCAAAATGGTGAAACCCCGTCTCTACTAAAAATACAAAAATTAGCCAGGCACGGTGGCACATGCCTGTAGTCTGTTCTTTTTTCTTTGTTTTGTTTCAGCCTGTGTGACAGAGAAAGACTCTGTCTCAAACAAAACAAAACAAAAAAACCGAAGTGGGAAAGTACTAAAAATAAACAAAGAATAAAGAATTTTTAAAGGGCACTATCATTACTTAAATGTAATCAGCTACAGGAGTAGTCTTGTATTATCTAACCTAGTAATCTTCTATAGTGGTTATGGGCCTAAAATGTTCACATTTACTCTTCACAGGTTGGGGGAAAACCAACTGTTTCAATATCTCGTATATCTCTAAGACACCACAGAGTTAAAGAAAGCAGAATGTATAAATAAATGCATTGAGAAATAAATGCAATGAAAAGAAAGTTTCTACATAATCTGGTTTGCTACCATTTTCATCCACCTAGTAGTATTTATCACTTGATACTTCTAATCCCACTGGTCCTCTTACAGATACTTTGTTTTGCTTCCTATTCTCATCCTTCAGTTAGACTCAGGATGATTTATACTAATTTGAGAATAAATGAAAAATTGATCATTTTTTCAGATAGGACTCCTCCAAATACTATGCAGGTAAGATTCTTCTTTTCCCCAGTTCCAACAGAAACCAAAGAAGTTGACAAGCACAAGAAAAAGCAATGTAATACTAACATGAGATCTAAGCTATAGTTAATTTTATAGATGTTACTTCCTAGTTTTTTTTTTGTTTTGTTTTTTCTTGAGACAGAGTCTCACTTTGTTGCCCAGGCTGTAGTGCAGTGGTGCAATCGTGGCTCACTGCAACTTCTGCCTCCTGGTTCAGGTGATTCTCGTGACTCAGCTTCCCAAGTAGCTGAGTAGCTGGGACTACAGGTGCACACCACCACGCTCAGCTAATTATAGACGTTATTTCCATGTGAGTCTAATTACTGCCATTGATTCTAAGCAGAAAAAAAAAAGAAGAAACTGGCTCAGCCAGGTACAGTGGCTCATGTTCATAATCCCAGCACTTTGGGAGGTCAATACTGGAGGATTATGTGAGGCCAGGAGTTCAAGACCAGCCTGGGTAACACAGTGAGACTCCCATCTCTGGGGGGGAAAAAAAAAAAAAGCATCTGGGCATGGTGGACAGCACTTGTAGTTCTAGCTGTGGGGGAGGATCCCTTGAACCCAGGAGTCTGAGGCTGCAGTGAGCTATGATCACACCACCGCACACAAGCCTAGGTGACAAAGTGAGACCCTGTCTCTAAAATATGATAAAATACTGTCTAAATTATGTTGAGCTGTTATATCAAGGAAGTAACATAAACTCTTACATTATAAACATTAAAAATAGTTGGAAAAACAGGCCTATTTGGAGAAAATATACTTAATACAGATTTGATATGTAGAACTGTCTTCAAAGCACTGTCCTCAATGAGGTATCCTAAATCCTGTTTAATCAACACCACAATTGTGCCATCTTCTGAGTTTATACCTTCAGATAAATTAAGTTCACAGGGTCTCTCATCTTAAGGGAGTACTAAAATTATTTCTTATGAAAAGCTAATTGAGGAATGTTCTTAGTTACAATATATAAAGCTTTTCTGTACATCTACAAAATAAAGCTAATTCCCCAAGAATGGAAAAGCCTTATTATTTTACTGAAAATGTGCTAAATTATTCCTGATTCACAGGTCTTATAATTAGCTATCTTTGGTTCTGGAGGTGCTTTATATGGTATGATCGATCAAAAAAATTCATGTCCCCAGACCCACTGAAAATAAATCCCTGATGTGTAAAGGACAGGCAGGTTATCAGCTAAACTTAGGAGGACTGAGGTAGTCTAATCTAAACCCAGCTATCATCTTCCAACTCCTCTCTCTCCCTTATCTCCATATTCTATTGACCAACCCTACCATTAGTTTTTAAATTCTTCTTAAATTAGTCCCCTTATCTTTATCTTGACTATCATCACCCTAGTGTAGGCCATCATCTCCTCTCTGGACAGTTCATTCCCTTGGTGCAGGCTCTTACCTTCCCCAAATAAACTCATCTTTATCCATGAACATGTTTCTCTTCCTGTACCCCCCTTTTATGTGGCATCCAATCTACCAAATGATAATGTAAATGCAGGGCTATGAAATAGGAGTCCTGGGAAAATGAGAAAAGTAGTTACAGAACTGAAAATCAAACTAAGATTCTTGGCAAGATCCTTAATTAAAAAAAAAAAAAGAAAGAAAGAAAATGGTTTATGAAGGTATGCCATGCATGATCACAACTGCCCCATATAGTTTGGTTAGAGCTGCATCTCTATTAACTGAAGCACAGTCATAGTTGCTCTAAAATGATTTAAATAGAACAAAGGGAATTCAGCTTCCTTAAAGGAGAGATAGGGACTACAAGCTATGAGATAAGGTTTTTTTCTGACACTTTAGATCTGGTCCCTTCTAAAATAAGGACCGTTGCCTCCCGCACTGGCCTCCCAAAGTGCTGGGATTATAACATGAGCCACTGTGCCTGGCTGAGCCAGTTGGGTGAGAAAGCAGAATGGCATGAAAACAGAAGACAGGAAGACAAGTATTGATTTTTACCTTCTTGAAAACAATCCCAGGAGGTCCTAATGTGAAATTTAAGTGTCTGGGGTTAAGGTGGACAATGACCTAGCTCTCAGACTAACCTAGCTTTCACTAACTAGCATGTGAACACTAACGCCTCCTTCTTATTGCTTAGCATGATGTTTACCACTTAGTTGGCTGGTTAAATGATACTTACAAATATGCCTGGTAGTTTGCCAATCACAGGAGGCAAGTTATGCAAAGCAGAACTAAGGTGGCTAGAATACGGCAAAGGCTTTTCAATAGTAGTCATAACATGAGTTATAGCAGCAGCAAAGAGAATCAGGACCTGAAGAATACACCTTTGTACAGAAAGTAGTAGGCAGGTGCAAGGTAATGGGCAGCTTTGTCACACCAACCTTCCACAACAGGAAGAACAACACTGACACTGGATTCCATTCATTCAGTAATGGTTAACCCAGAGTTAGACTTCTTTGAGGAAAAAGCTGTGCTCATCAGGTTCATGATAAAAATCAGGACAAATAAAGGCAGCACACACAATCCACCAACTCCATCTCAATGAACCCTGCATAAACCCTTACTGAACAGGGAGGCACTTTCCCAGTGAAACAATAGGTGTTCCATTGACTGAAGGCTGAGGAGCTTCCCACATAAGAAGGAACTTCTGGTCAGTCCTTAGGAAGTTTGGGTAATACTGAGTTTTTGAACATAAGTTAACTGAACCTATGGAAGAGATCATTTACATAATATCCAGCTTGAAAGTAAAAGAAACCACAGTGCTCATGTAGTCTGAAAACAGGTATAGGATGTGCAAGCACTATGACAAACTACTTCATTTACGTCTTTTGAAATAAAGAAACAAACTCAAAAGGGAAGGTAATGTGCCCAGGATTCCATTACTAACAGATTGTTTTAGCCCTTCTGTAATTTTGCCAGCCCCATCCTCAGCCAATAAGTTGACCAACCAAAACAAGAATCCAGTCATGCTTGTTCCTTGCTCTGTACTTCCTGGGATCTCTCAGTCATTTCTGGAATGGCGTTGGGAGGGGAAAAAAAAGCAGACCTCAGAGCTGCAGTAGGGAGTATTTTTCACAGAACTGGTTCATTCTCATTAGAAAACTTTAGAGCTGGAGTGGGGTTTAACTGCTTGAGTAATAGAGTGTGGGTAGTTAATAAAATTTCATCTTTGGCATCACTCAAACCTCAGTAAGGGTCCCAGCTCCTGTGGTTTACTCACTTGGGATGCTTCGAGCCTCAGTTTCATCATATGTAAAATGTGGAAATAATACCTGTCTTCAGGGTTACTGAGAGGATTAAATGATAAAATGCACACCCAGCACTTATGAAAGTACCTGGCACCCAGTAAATTCTCAAAAGATGGCAGCTACTGTTACTTTTATGGTTATAATAGTCATATGTCTCTGAAGGATCATGTTGACAATTTTACCCACACAGACCCTAGTAGCCTGTGGCTTTTACTTTTCCTTAAGCTCCCCTAGCTGTTTTTTTTAAAGAGCCTAACTTTGGTAGAAGAAAGGCGAATCTCAGAGACAGAAAAAGAGAGCACTAAATTAATGTTGCATTAGATGTCCGGTGAGAGGAATCTTTCAGAGGGTGTCAGTTCACCATTGGAGAAGGGATGAGCTTCATCTGTACAAAGAAGCAAGGAGTTTACCTTTGCTTCTGCAGATCTAGAGATTTTCTGTGGTGGGGCCACACAGGCTAGTCCTCAGTAGGAGAAAGGACATACGGAGAGAGGGATTCCAGAAAGGAGCAGAGATTGAGATGAAGGGAGAGAAATCAGATCTAATGTTTTCTCATAAACTATTTAGTTTTACTCTAAGGTAACAGTGGTCATGATGCTGATGCTGATAGAGGTAACATTTGTTGAGAATTTACTGTGAATTAACTTATTTAATCTTCACACTCACCATATTAGGTAGTTTTGTCATCATTATCCCCATTCTGCAGATGTAAAACTTGAAGCACAGAGAGATTAAGTTAGAAAATAGCAGAGGCAGGATTGGAACCTAGGCAGTCCACTTCAGAACCTGAATTTCAACTTCTACCCAATTCTATCCCTAACATGATATTAGCACTCAGATCTCTGAGGAAGGAAGAGACCTCCTGATGGAAAATGCATATTGGGTTTGTTTTCTGTTTCAAGGGGGAAAAAATTACTTACATTTATAGAAAGAAAACCCCCTTGCCAAGGTTATCAACTTCCAATTGCTACTGTAATTGCTATTCAGAACATCACCCAGGATGAAGGCAGAGAATAACTGTTAAATGACTGCTATCTTTCTTGGAGGGGGAAAAACCTGTTATAACTCCTCTTCTTATGGAAATAAAAGAGAAAAGATAGACCAAAATGCTGGTAGAACAGCCTGGTTTAGAAACTGCGAGGATCTCAGAAACAAAGAGGAAGAAGACTAGAACCATATCCATTTCAGATGAGGATCAACTAACTAGCCCAGGGACACAGAAGAAGTACAAGTAACAAAAACTCAGCTATAGCCCACGTTTACATGAATGAAAACAAAAACCTATCCAGCACTGAAAACAGTATGAGAGAAACCAATACTAAGCTCAATGGTGTTCTGGTAAAGAGAATCAGCTGGTCAGGCTTGACACCACATTCTTTTCAGAATGGCTGTAGCTATTAGTAAAGCTTCTCACAGTGCACGTGGAAAACATTTGCAAGTACATGGAGTCAGTCACATGCCAGAAAAATAGCCATTCTGTGACACTCCTCCAGCCTCCCTACTTTCAAGGGCTGATGACAACTGATAAAAAAAAAAAAAAAAAAAAAGCCAGAAGATAATATTCCTCTGGCCTTTAAAGAGAGGCAGGCAGGATAAAGACACAGTGTGGGGTATATTCTATGCCCAGAAGTCAAAAGTACATTAACTTCAGGCAGTGCTCACAAAAGACTTTTAGAGCTGGCAGGTCACTGAGATCACTCAGCCTAAGACTCTCATTATTGAACCAAGGACACTTGGGCCCAGACCAGGAAACAGTTTGCCTAATGCCAATGTGATAAAGAGCTGGGCCTTATAGATACTCCAGGATAACCCACACCACATATCCTATCACCACAGGAAGCCACTTCTCTTCATTTCCCAACAGTCCCTAAAGCTAAGTGACCATTCTTCCTTTTAAAGGTGGATCAATTATATCATTTACCTTTTAATATCCAAAACTTGGCTCATATAGAAATCATGTAACTATAAATACATTATCAAGGCATCAAAATGATATGCCATTCAGACTATCACAGAAATCTGTAAATGAGAAAACTTGTAAACATTTATTATACTTTAAAAATGATGTTATAGCTATAATTCTATTATGTCCTGATTTTTAAGCAAATCAACATTTACCCTAAATGGGTATTTTTAAAATATGAAATGTTTAAATGGGCATAATCAATAAAAAATAAATATGTAATTTGATGTAATAACTTTAAATGACATTTTATTTTAAAAAAAATAAGCAAGCTTTGACACTACAGAAGCCATTTAGAGAAAACATATAAACATGTAAACATAAGTAACAGGACACACAGTACAATGGGAAATGAACAAAACTTCCAGCTGGTATTAAAATAAAGAATAAAAATGATGCCTTCCTATACACTGTATGGTGCTATTCTACATGTTGTAGAAATACCAGTGAACTTACCCACCACAGGCAATATTCCAAGATTATGTAGTCATCAAGGAAAGAGATTCCATCCAAGTGGAAGGAAAGCAATTCAAAAATCAAATAACTACATTCATTTCATTATGAAGTTAGTAGAATTAAAAACAGAGAATTATTGCATCATAGAAAAGTTATATTACAACAAAAAAACAACTTAGAAGAAATAAAAAATAACAATTTCAATAGGAAAACTAGAATGTTAATATTAATTCAGAGATCTACGACACCGTTTTGTTTTGTTTTGTTTTTTGGAGACAGAGTCTTTTTCTGTTGCCCAGACTGGAGTGCAGTGGCGTTATTCTGGCTCACTGCAACCTCCGCCTTCCGGGTTCAAGCAATTCTGTGCCTCAGCCGTAGCAGCTGGGATTACAGCCGTGTACCACTACACTCAGCTAATTTTTATATTTTTAGTAGAGATGGGGTTTCACCATGTTGGCCAGGCTGGTCTTGAACTCCTGACTTCAAATGATCTACCCACCTCGGCCTCCCAAAGTGCTGGGATTACAGGTGTGAGCCACCACGCCCGGCCTACTACACTGTTGTACAACTAACTTTACTGCTTAGATACTAAAATAAAGGATAAAATAATATTTTTGTAATTTTTTTGTGAAAGATATTTTACTATGAAAACAACCCAACTGGGTTACAACAAGATAATTCATTTGCAGTTGAGGTTTGGCATTAAAAAACTAACAGAGTTACACTAAAATAACATATTTCATTATGTGGACAGTTTCTCACCTCTTCTTCCTTCAAACACATCATTGATTTCTCTTAGCAGTGTTGACATGTCACTAATTTGGGATTCCCAAGCTTCACAAAATACATCGAGGTTTTCTTTAGCAATTTTACTAGATGGGTGCAATGTCAATGTTTCAGCAGCAGAAATAATCTAAAGAAATACAACATACACCTGTGTGAATTTCAAAATCTTGGCCTCAGAATCACTCTAGAGACCAAAGGTAAGTAAGTCTGCTGTTAATTCAACGCAAAAAACAACTATGAAGTAATTTCTACACACAAGCTCCATGTTGAGCAATATGAAGATACACAGTAGAACAAAATTTGCTGTTTCTTATAATCTGACCTGCAGATAAATAGTATGCATTATTATATACAAACCTGCATTCAGGGAGCAATTCTCTTCATTCAAGGAAAACTCTGAACAAAGTTGTTCCCATAGAATAATTCAAAGAGTTATACTCAGACCACAAAGTGTGTACTGTATACAGAGCAGCAAAGTAGCAGTAATAGCCATGGTGGTAGAAGCAGTGATAGCAGAAGGAATGGCATTGATAATAACAAGTAACATATATTCATACCGATGAGTACTTGGTAGATAAATGCTTGAGATACTGTGTTTGGTGCTTGAGATACATTAATATGTAAATATCCCTCAAAATACGTAAATAAAATACTACTTTTCCCAAATAAGCATTATTCCCATTTTCAGCTAAAAAAAGCTGAAGTTCAGAGATACCAGTAACTTGTGCTAGATCCTATAACTAGTATATACAGTTGATACTTAAACTCAGATCTACCTGATCCAAGTCCAGGCTCTTTCCATCACATCACGCTGCCTCTCATAAAATACTTCCAAAGTGGGCAGAAATCATCCTGGTACTTACACGTAACACCATATGGGCTGAATAAATGTGTTGAATAAATAAATGAATTGTTGTAGAGACTGTTACGTTTTCATCAAAATCTGTTTGTCTTCCCTCCAGATACACAGCAAGATTACATTTCCCAGCCTCCCTGGTGGAGATGTATGGCCACGAGACTGAGTTCTGCCCACCTGAATATGGGTCACCACTTCCATCCTAACTCATCCAAACCTCCCACGTGCTCCTTAGCACTCTCTCCCTTCCACACCTCATGGTTCAATGTACAGAACCCAGTAGGGACTCTGAGGTACTAAGGGTTGGCAAGGCACAAAATGAAAGGCGCCTGGATTGCCAAGAGGGAGAAAGGCATACCATTAATCAGGACTTAATACAGGTCAGAAATAAACTGCTATTATATTAAGCCACTGAAATTGTGGCATTTGTGGTTTTATTTAGTGTTAGGCTACTACATGAATGAATGAATGAATCGACTAACATCTTATCTTTCTTTTTTTATTTTTTAAAGATGGGGTTTCTCCATGATGGCCAGGTCTTGAACTCCTGACCTCAGGTGATCCACCCACCTCGGCCTCCCAAAGTGCTAGGATTACAGGCATGAGCCACCACGCCCGGCCTAACATTTTATCTTTCATATAATCATCACTCTCTAACACAAAAGACTTGATAGATGCTAATTGTAATATAGGCAGAAAATTCATACACCTCCTGACCTGACATTCAATAGAAATTACACTTCAACTCCTACCTCAAAATAGAAGCCATCGACCAAACCAAACCTGCTGAAATTTCCTGATGGCCCATTAAATAAAAGGCACACACAAAAAGGTCCAGGACTAGGGATTTGGAGTTCAGTCTTGATATGTTTATAGCACATCCTTTCCCTTCTACCACTTTCACCTTCGATTCTGTCTACCGTCTTATTTCACAGACTGGGGATATTATATAAAACATTCACCCAGTAAGTAGTATTTTAGAGAATCCACTATGTGAAAAAAATCAGGCTAGGTGCTGGGGATAAGGTGATAAAAAAAGAAGATAAAAGCCCTCTATTATGAAGCTTATATTCTAGTGGGGATTTGAAACAATAAACAAGCATATAATTAAAATATTATAAATTATGGTAAGTGCTATGAAGGAAATTAATAGGATAATGTGATAGAGATGCCCATTACTAACAAGGGATATTGCTGTTCCATGGAGTTGATTATATAGGATTATTCACACACATGTATGTATACAACTAACATGACTATTTAATCACCTACTACGTACTAGTAGGCACTGTGCCCACGTTCCAGGTGCTGGGGAAACAGCTGTGAATGAAACAGACAAATGTCCCTGGCTTCATGGGACTCACATTATAATGAGCAGTGGAGAGAGAGACAAATTATAAGATATTTTAGAAGGGAATAAACAATATGTATCAAAATTAACGGTGAGAATGATGGAGGGAATGAGGTGGTCACAGTATTTTAAGTTCAAGGGTCACTGAAAAGGTGAGGGAGCTACAGGGAAATGGAGGGAAAGTCAATTGGGATGAGGAAGAAACATTTCTGGAGTGTTCAAGGAATAGCAAGTAAGCCAGGGGAACAACTCACATGAGCAACAGGAAGGTGGCCAGTGGTCATGTAACAGAGAAGCATAGATGGTAAGGACTGGATTTTCTTCTGAGTAAGAAAGTCATTGGAGAACTTATAGAAGATTAATATGATCAGGGTCATGTTAGATATATATATATTTGTAGTTGGTACCTTTGAATGAATTACAACTAGGTACTCCTCCCTCTATGGTGGGCACAGTCCCATAGGCAGAGTACTTGCCAAGCAGATGGCAGTATTATAAGAACAAGGCTCCCCTTCTTCAAGGAAAGTAGGCACATAACTTGCCATGGACTATAGGCTAGATTTTGGCATTGCTCTCCTCTCAACCAGGAGCCTTTCTTTGTACAGTGTACAAACTGTTCAATTGTTCCCTCAGTATGTCTAACATTTTAAAGGAAATACAAAAATAACATTGCTAAAGCAGAGATATCCAGAAATAAATTATCCCAGAGGCATGCTCAATGTCCTTAAATTATCCTTTTGTGAGGCAGATGGCAGAGACTAGGAGTGGAAGCTGAGGCTCTGAAAACAGAAAAAGCTTCTCAAGTTATACAAGTTATGAACAACATTATTTGCCACTAACCTGGGGAAGAAAATATATATTCCTAATATCACTGCTGCAATAGAAACAATAAACCAAAAAGTGCAACCAGATGGCAGGCAGGGCCTGAGGATAGGAGCAAGAACTGATTGCATATGGCAGGAGAGTCAAGCCCTCCAGTTCTATTGAAATAAATTTGCAGCCAAAGCAAGAAGAGTGGTTCCCATGCAAATACCGAAGTCATAGTTTCTCCCAGTAAACAGGGATTCCCCTGGTTGTAATAAAGTGTTTGGCAGCTGATCATTGTGGAGGTTCATTTATATAGTTCCTGCTTTATAAGCCTCTGACATTGTTCTCTATGGGAGAGCATATGATCATCTCTGCAACATCCAACATGATTCTCCTAGAGGGCACATGCCATTACTCAGTTTAGGTCGCTCGCACTGTTCTCAACTATAAATCAAAGATCCAGGGACTCAACCTCTACTGTCCAATATTGCAAATTAGGAGGAATCATTTTGGCTGACAGTAATAAGTAAATATAAATAAAATATAAATTAAAGTATAAATAAATAATATTTAAAAATATAAATAAAAGAACAACTGGAAAACTTTATTTTTGAGCTTAGACTCTAAAAAAGAAGGAAGCGGCCAGGCATGGTGGCTCACACCTGTAATCCCAGCACTCTGGGAGGCCGAGACAGGTGGATCAGGAGATAGGAGTTTGAGACCAGCCTGACCAATATCGTAAAAACCTGTGTCTACTAAAAATACAAAAATTAGCCAGGTGTAGAGGTGCACACCTGTAATCCCAGCTACTCAGGAGGCTGAGGCAAGACAACTGCTTGAATCCAGGAGGCAGAGGTTGCAGTGAGCCCCGAGACTGTGCCATTGCGCTCCAGTCTGGGTGACAAAGCGAGACTCCTTCTCAAAAAAAAAAAAAAAAAAAAAAAAAGAGGCTCTGTCTTTAACTACTTTCCTTAGATTAATTTGACAGAAACAATATTAAATGAGATAACCAGTTTTAAAAAGGCTCTTGAAAATTATAAAGGCTAATAAATACCTCTACTATAGAAAATCCAGAAAAAAATCCTGGCCAAACAAGGATATTGTCGTATAGGTATTTTGATATGTATATACATTCTCTATGCATATGAAATTATAGTATACATATAAATCTGTATCATACTTTTTTAATTTAACATTGAATGGAACATTTTTTCAGTGGTTGCTAATCTTGGTTATCATAATTATTATTTAACACTATAATGTTTGCCTAATTTAAGATGGTTATTTTGCTTCTGGTTGGATCTTTTTTTCCCCCAGATATGGAGTCTTGCTCTGTCACCCAGGCTGATGACAGAGAGTGACACAATCATAGCTCACTACAGCCTCAAACTGGATTCAAGCTATCCCCCTGCCTCAGCCTTCTTAGTAGCTAGGACTACAGGTATGCACCACTACATCTGGCTAATTTTTGTGTGTTTGTTTCTATTTTTTGTAGAGACAGAGTCTTGCTATGTTGCCCAGGCTAGTCTCAAACTCCTGCACTCAAGTGATCCTCTACCTCAGCTTCGCGAAGTGCTGGGTTACAGGTGTTAGCCACATGCCTGGTCCCAACTGAATCTTATAAGTAATGTCATAACATTGTTTTGTTTGTGTTTCATCCCATGTCCTAATTATTAGCATGAAAAGTGAGTATTTGAATATTAGGTTGAAATGTGAATATTACATAACGAATGGCTTGTTATGTCATGATAACTTAATCTCCGATCATGTTATAACAAGTGCATTGTAAACAGCTTCCTTTAAAATAGTTATAAACTAGAGTATTCATTAAATGAGCCAGTCTCCAATCTGGCAGATGACCAGCTCCAATGGAAGGTTAGCCATGTTCCAGCACACTACCAACAGAAATTCCATTATCTTTCTTTCTCTACATAGATTTGGCCTCTAGTTATGAAGAACCATTTATACCTTCCATCCACACTACTTGTTATAATAAGACACAATACAGAAGGAACAATCTGCTGTTATCATACCTGTTGGCCGGTCACCTGAAATGTCTCCTCTGCGTGTATACAGGTTATTTCCAGAGGTTCTGTCCCAGATACGTGTCGTAACAATCGACAGGTCTACGAGAAAACATGTCCACGGTTCAACTTTCACATCCCCATCCTCCTCAATACATAGTATCATTTTATAATTAAAAAGAAAAATTTACAAATAAAATTTCTTCAAACCTATTAGAATAAATTTAAACATTACTGAGAAGACTGTTATAATATTATATTGGTCACCAACAGATTCTCTGGGAACAAAGCAGATACAAATAAAGGTATAACATTGTTTCTACTTCCTATCCAATCATGGCAAGGTTACAGAATGTTAGAAACAGAAGGAAACTTTGGAAGGACATAGTAGTGCCCACATATTTTATATATAAAGAAAGCTGGCTCAGAGAAGTAACCTGCCCAAGGTCTCACACCTTAACTATGTCAGAGTTACTCCAAGCTACATGTTCTATCAACACTGCCTTCCAAGGGAGCTAACATTGGATTAGGCACACTGGTATAATAAGGAGAGAGCCGAGGTCAAGAGATCAAGACCATCCTGGTCAACATGGTGAAACCCCATCTCTACTAAAAATACAAAAAATTAGCTGGGCATGGTGGCGTGTGCCTGTAATCCCAGCGACTCAGGAGGCTGAGGCAGGAGAATTGCCTGAACCCAGGAGACGGAGGTTGCAGTGAGCCGAGATCGCGCCATTGCACTCCAGCCTGGGTAGCAAGAGCGAAACTCCGTCTCAAAAAAAAAAAAAAAAAAAAAAAAAAAAAAAAAAAAAAAAAAAAAAAATGAGACAGCCTATATCAGAGGAAATTATTGAAAATCTTGACACTTAAAACAGAAAATCAGAAAACATTTTTTTCAATGTTAAAAAGATTTGCTGCAGGATTCCTAAAATAACCAATTTCCCTACAATTATAATATTTGGTTTATAAAAATAGCAGCATCAAACTTATTAAATGAATAAACAATATCTACAGTCATTTTAAGAATGTTCCCCCAGAAGCTTTAAGGCTCCTACGTGAACAAGTAAAGGAGAAGAGGCCAGTTCAATTAGTCTAAAGGCTCCTTCTAACCATTAGTCTTTTTGGTGAGCAGGATATATAAGATCATGTAAATATAGCTAGATGGTTCATAACTGTGCATTTATATACATGTTGGCTAGCACATATCTCATACAAATAAGCTATACATGGGTTCAGTTTTTTGTTTGGTTGGTGATATGGTTTGTCTGTGTCCCCACGCAAATCTCACCTTGAATTGGTAATAATCCCCATGTGTCAAGGGCAGGATCAGGTGGAAGCAACTGAATCATGGGGGTAGGTTCCTCCATACTGTTCTCGTGATAGTGAATAAGTCTCATGGAATCTGATGGTTTTATAAATGGGAGTTCCCCAGCACAAGCTCTCATGACTGTTGCCATGTAAGATGTACCTTTGTCCTCCTTTGCCTTGTGCCATGGTTATGAGCCTCCTCTGCCATGTGGCACTGTGAGTTCATTAAACCTCTTTTTCTTTATAAATTACCCAGTCTTGAGTATGTCTTTATCAGCAGCGTGAGAACAGACTAATACAGTTTGGTTTTCTTTCTAGTAGATGTCTGACATTTTCAACAGGCAGAAGGCTCAGAATATCAATTAATAAGCCTAACTGGAATTATAACACAAGTGGCACATGAAGCAGCAGTAACTCACAACTGAGATTTGAAATCGTGTGCCAAATGTCTTCTCGTTGTCTCTCCTTAAGCACTCTCCTCCCTTCTCACATCTGCCTTTTGCTGTGGGATACTGACCTATGTTTGGCCAATGGGAAGCCCCATCCACAGATGAGCAGGACTGAGGAGAGAATAGGCCTTGATTCCCACGCTCTTCCTGGGAGGGCCACCTGGGGCTGTCTCTAGGCCTAGTCCTAAAATCACAAACCTATCAAGGCAGTTCTCTTAAAGGCTGCCACATTCCACATTCCCTGTTAATGTGGGCCTGGGGGTGGTACCAGCCTTGCTACCACTCGCCCCAATTACTGCTCTCCCACGTATGGTTTCCCCCACACCCTGTCTATGCTATTGTAAATAGCTCCTTTATTAAACTGTCTTCAAATTACCCTAATTTGAGCGTGCCATCTCCTCCCTGCTGAGACCCTGACAAATTCAAAAAGAAACAAGGTCATATGATGACATACCTCCATGGCTCTACTCCAAGGTCTAACTTCTCTGAGAGGATAAGGAAAAGAAGATTAAGAAGCTCATTTGTGGGTCTTAGCATTTTTTGTTTTGTTTTAGAGGCCAGACAGTTGCAGAAACAGAACAGATACATGCTATGCTTTTAAGATTCCAAAGGAGAGAGAAAATGCTCAGATAAAATAACCCAAAACTATATTTGTGTTAACATTCCCACACAGTTTAATAAAGCTATTATTAAACTACAATTTCTTTAGCAATCAAATTTATTACTCACCTCAACAAGCTGCTCTTTCTGTTCAGAGAGTTTACAGGCATATACAGCCAAAGCTTCTAAATTTCCTTCTACTCCAGTAAGTTTTAATGCTTTTAGAACCACATGATCAGCATGGTATTTTAATAGATCTGCTGCCAGCTGTGTCGCTGTACTATGAAGCTGCAGATGTGGGGGGGACGGGCACGGGGTACAGGAGAAGGGTGATGAAGGAAGAAAAACAAACTATAACATTTTGTGACCAAGGACCACATCAGCACATTAATAAAGAGAAGCCACAAAGCAGTTCCGTGGGTTCCACTGAGGGGAGGGTGTAAAGTTCCCTATATAACAGTAGGAGTTGTGCAGCACTGGTGAGCTTACAGTTTCTTTCAAGGGCAAGAGTGATATCTAATTCATCCCTGGTGCTAGTGGTAATGCCGTTTCTAGAAGATGAGCTGGTTATTCAGCTAAGTAGCCTGGTCTCTTTTTTATTCTATTATCAACCAGCTCTTTCCCATGTAACTTCTCCCTTATGTGAAAAATGCTTCTGCTAATCTTAAAATTGGTGAGGAATGAAACAGTATTGAGAGTGCAATATTTAGGCCGGGGGTGCAGTGGCTCATGTCTATAATCCCAACACTTTGGGAGGCCGAGGTGGGCGGATCACGAGGTCAGGAGTTTGAGACCAGCCTGGCCAACATGGTGAAACACCATCTCTACTAAAAATACAAAACAAACAAACAAACAAAAAAAAAACTAGCCAGGTATGGTGGCAGGCGCCTATAATCTCAACTACTCAGGAGGCTGAAGCAGGAGAATTGCTTAAACCCAGGAAGGTGAAGATTGCAGTGAGCCAAGATCGTGCCACTACACTCTAGCCTAGGCAACAGAAGTGAGGCTCCATCTCAAAAAAAAAAAACAGAGAGTCCAATATTTAGAGTACTAAGAAGAAAACTGGCAAGTCATGATCATTAATAAGCTTTTTGGCATATTTTTTAAAAAGTACCAATGTGAGATTCAGTCAATTAGGTATTCTATAAAATTTATTAAATACTTATATCATGGCAAGCACTGTAGCACTATACTAGAGGCTGGGCATACATGACAAGTAGGAGACAATCCCTGCCCTCAGGGAGGTTTAGAATCTGTCTATAGTTGCCATCCAGATCTTTACTCTCTAACTCTGTGAACAAATTGGGTCCAAGGAGAAATAACAGATTAAAGCGTAACAAAAACCCCATGGTTTTACCGACGTTGGGTGGAATGCATGGCTCACTCTTACTGGATATGTTTGGACACTATTAACTCCAAAATCTTTTCTTCTTCTCTTGCCTTTTTTTTTTAATGATGTCACAGGTTATTTTGGGGTTGTCCAGAAATAGATCATTTTTAATAACATTGTTCTCAGAAAAATCTGACTTTGAATTAGATCTTTTTGAATGAATTAATTTCTTTTTTCCTGGAAGTAATCCAATCTCTATTCAAATTAGAGGATTGTCTCCAAAATTAACAATATGACAGTCTCTGCATTCATGCAACTAAGTGAGAATAATTACAGTAAGAAACAAAGAAATTAAAATTCCTTTCCTTAGGAAACTAAATGCCACATAAGAACTTAAAAAGATTTTGTTTCACTAGCAGGACCTTAGAGAATATCTAATGCCAGTCATTTATTTTACAGACTATGAAATGGCTCCAGAGGGACTGTGTCTTGCCAAGGTCATGTAATGCTTACGTGTAAGAGAGGGAGGCGGGACAAATGCAAAGTTACTGCTCTATGCAACAACCTGACAGCAGCCTTATACACATTACCTCCCTTAATCCTTACAAGAATTTTATGAGGTTGATGTGGTTATATCCATTTAAGAGGTAACGAAAACGAAGCCTGTGGAAAGCCAGCCTATCACCAGTACAGCATGTTCTATTGATAGTCAGGATTTTAACAATACTTTAGTTAAAACTGAATAGGCTGGAATGAAATGCGTAGGCTTTTTTCTTTTTGTTTTGTTTTTTCCTTGTGTCAAGGGTGGCAGACTTTTTGTAAAACATAGAAAACCATGTCTATGTTTAATAAGATGTTTAAATGGAGATTTCAACAAACATATCAGCACCAAGTAAGATGGGAAACAGAACACCATGTATATAATTTATATAAGAAACATCCAAAAACCAATTTCAACCAGGCATGGTGGCTGATGCCTGTAATCCCAGCACTTTGGAAGGCCAAGGTGGAAACACTGCTTGAACCCAGGAGTTCAAGACCAGCCTGAGCAACATAGTGAGACCCTGTCTCTACCAAAAATTAAAACATTAGCCAGGCATGGTGGCGTGCACCTGTGGTCCCTGCTGCATGGGAGGATGAGGCAGGAGGATCACTTGAGCCCAGAAGGTCAGGGCTGCAGTGAGTCATGTTCGTACCATTGTCTGGGCAAGAAAGGGAGACCCTGTCTCAAAAATAAGAAAAACTGTATAAAACTTCTAATTTCATTGTCTTTAGTCTTGACCATCTTCAAGAACATAGAAGAATTAAGGCCAGGTGCAGTGGCTCAATTTGGGAGGCCAAGGGAGGCAAATTGCTTGAGGTCAGGAATTTGAGATAAGCCTGGCCAACATGATGAAACTCCATCTCTACTAAAAATATAAAAATTAGCCAGGCATGTGTCATGTGCCTGTAATCCCAGCTACTCAGGAGGTTGAGGCAGGAGAATCACTTGAACCCAGGAGGTGAAGGTGGCAGTGGGCCAAGATTGCACCACTGCACTCCAGTCTGGGCAACAGAGTGAGATTCTATGTCAATCAATCAATCAATCAATCAGTCAATCAATAAAGAATCAAGAAAGCAGAGCTAAGGGAGAGGAGAGGTCTGTGTGAGGAGGGTCTGTCTGGAGAGCTGCTGGGCGCCCACTGTGACTTTCTCCTCCAGGTATGCCACAAAGTGGAGGGAGCAACAGGATAGAGGGGTTCAGGGGCAAGCGGGCAACAAGAAAGCCTCTGAAGAACATACTAACGTATCCATGAGAGTGAGAATCCACTGTAAATGTCTACCAAGCCCAAAGCCATTTAATAAGGGCACTGGTCACTAAAAACATTCTGCTTCTCAACTTTCTCCCTTCTCTCTCTGTGCCAAAACCTGACAAAAATCAACAACAGCTATGTAATGGAGGGTGAGGAAAGTGAAAAAGGGAGAATAAACCACATCTCCCCAAAAGCTCTATCTAGTTGGAGCTGGGGAAACAGGGAACAGGGGAGAAGTTCTACAACTGAATGAAGATTTAAATACTGATTAATGTATTAGAGGGAACATTCTAATTTTTCAACTGAGATCATGTTTTGTGACTTAAAGCAGGAACTGGCTAATTTTTTCTGTAATGGGCCAGAGGATAAATATTTTAGGTCCTATTGCGACTACCCAACTCTGCTGTTGTAGTGAGAAAACAGTAGACAGCAGGTCCACAAATGGGCAGCATTGTGTCCCCATATACTCTACTGACAAAAACAGTCCAGTTGCAGTTTGTGAACACCTGACTTAAGGAGACCATAGGACTTTCAATGACCTGAGAGTAGCCAAGTAAGTCATGAGATGACCAATTTTTTATTCAGAGAACAGGGAAACCCTCCCAACCAAAGGAATTTTTTTTTAAATTTACTTTAGTGAGATAGAATTGATATATAACAAAACGTACCAATTTTAAGGTACAGTTCAGTGAGTTTTGATGAACATATACAGCTATGTAACCACAATTAATTTTGAACATTTCCATTGTGCCAAAAAGTCCTCTCATACCCTTTTGCAGTAAATATATCCCAACTTCTGACCCAAGATAGACACTGATCTGATTTCTGTCATTATAAATTAGTTTTGCCATTTCTAGAATTGTTTTTTTCTAAATGGAATTTTGTACATATAATCTTTTGTGCCTGGCTTCTTTTGCTCAGTATAATATCTTAGCGATTCATCTATATTGTTGCATCTATCAATACTGTTCCCTTTTACTGCTGAATAGTATTTGGTAGAATTATTCCAAAATTCATTTATCAATTCCTCCGTTGACAGAATTCTAGGTTGTTCCCAGTTTTTTGTTATTATGAAAAAAGCTATGAAAATTCATGCACAAGCTTTGAGAATGATGGCATTAATAAAATCATGGTTTCAAAATAACTATGTCAAAGGAAAACATTTTTTGAGATAGGGTCTCGCTCTGGCACCCAGGCTAAAGTGCAATAGCTCGATCATGGCTCACTGCAGCCTGGAGCCCTGGGTCTCAGGTGATTGTCCCACCTCAGCCTCCCAAGCAGCTGGGACTACAGGCACGAACCACCACACCTGGCTAATCTTTTGTATTTTTTGTAGAGATGGGGTTTCGCCATGTTGCCCAGGCTAATCTTGAACTCCTAGGCTCAAGTGATCCTCCTGCCTTGGCCTCCCCACAGTGCTGGAATCACAGGCATGAGCCACCATGCCTGGCCTTAAAGAAAACTTTTAAACTTTTAAAATCATTTTCTAGGCACAGAGACATACTAATACTAATGCATTTCATACATCCATACAACATGAAAATTAGCAAAGAATTAGAAGAGGCTAAATTTCAAGCTCTACTTACCTCTTTCTTAAGTTCATTAAGACTATGACTGATTTTCAGTATACTGAGTTCCAGTTCTTCAGCGATGCTTTTTGTTTTCTTGCTTTGCTAAAAAATTTTAAAAAGTATATATGTAATGTTACCGCATCTCTTTAATCTGTCAATTCCAATTTTACTTGAACTATAAATTGTAATAAATTTTAATATTATTCTGTGAACTATAAAAGCAGATTTTTAAAATTTTCCTGTTTAAAGCTACAGTGGAAAATAAAGTTTCAGTTTAGTTATATTCTTCAATGTTAATTATAAATAGGTGAACTGTTGTTGTTTTTTTTTCCTGTGAACCTATGGATTGTATTGAAAGGTGAACGTTTAAAATCTAATTTTCTATTTAATTTTCCTTAATACATTCATCAAGCCTAAAATTAATCTTTTATTTTCGGCCTAGAATGTCCATGCTTTCACTCCTAACCTAGACAAAAATTAAAATCCTACTTGTCTTTAAGATCTTACATAAATGTCTTTTTCTTAGAAAGGCTTTTTCAGATCACTCAATCTAAATCAGATCCTCTTCTTACTCTAATCTTTTCTCTCAGTAATCATCCCAGCTTGCAATTACATATTTATTTATTTATTTCAGTCCAAACCATCTGGGAATTTTTTATTTTTTGTTTCTTTAACATCTGTCTTCCCCACTAGGCCATGAAAGCTGAGTTCACATCTATGTTGCCCACCACTAAATCCACAGTACCTGGCATAGGAAATGGTAGGTAATAGATATTCAATTCTTTGCATGAGTAAATAAAAATTAAATATCAATACTTCATGAAGCCTCCTTGAGTCCTCTCCCTAAATATAAATTTGTCCTTCAAACCCTCTCAATGCATAGTCTACACCTTCTCTTAAGATATTTACAAAGTTGTTTGTACTTGTCTCACCCCTTCCCACAGGTTTCTACATTGTAAAATTCTTGCAGACAAAGATTTTATCTTATTCATCTTTAGATTTCTGGTGCTTGGCATATAAAAGGCACCAGTAACAACTGCTGAAAAAAATGAATGAATGAAAAATTCATCTAGTATGTAGGATCAGAGATTTGAGTGCTTGTGAATATGCACAGGGTAAATTTGCTAAATTTCTGACATTCGCTAATTGCAAATTTGAGTATTGATAGAATCATATTCCCAGCATAGAGTACTTTATCACAAACAACTCTTTATAGTGAGTGTTGGACATAAAATTTAACACTGAAGCAATCTACACTTCAGATTGTGTATCACACAGATAATCCAAACTAAACACAAAATGTTGCTCAAGTCTCTCACACCACTCTAGGGCAAGATTCCCTGTTAATATGAACATGTGCACTATTGTGATGCCAAGAAAATATCTGACAAATCTGTGATTCACATCTATTTTCATTCATAAATTAATCTATTTACAAGGAAATCAACTGCTGCTTCTTTTTTCAGTCTCAGCCATATCCACCCTCCTCCATCGTCTTTACTGCTAAAGACATGACTTCTAGATTTGTACTATCGCTGCTGCATATTGTACACCATGTTAAATACTTTTTTGACATAGCCTGGGCCTAAAAAATAAATAATGCTAGAGACATGTCCCAGTGCTCTGTCTCTCCATTTTGCAATCCACCTGCTGTAAGAGATTGTGTACACACTTCCTATGCTGTCCCTCTTCTATCAGTCTTGGCCATTCTTGCCCAAATAACCTCCTCTGTTTGAAGCACACCAGCAGCCCATTTAAAGCTCATAGAGCAGCCGTCCACCAATTTTAGACCAGGAATTTGTGCAAGGATGAAAAATCTTTTACCTGCCAGCTGGATTTACCCTTGTTTTCATTATATCTATACCCCAATAAGTTTTCTAAAGCATTGTGTCTGTAAATCAGCTGTCTTCCGAGGTAAGAATTATGTACATGTGAATGGCTCCAGCAGTCAGACTCAGGTCCCAAGAACCTCTAGGTGGGGGTCTACTCCTCTGTTCTTCTCTCTGAAGAAGCATTTTGGGGAGGAATTTTCTAGACATGAGTTTGGTGGAAGAGTGGGGACAACAGAGTGAACTAGTGATAGTGGCAGAGGCATAGATCCAGACTGGCTAGAATGAGAATCAGCAGGCCTAGAAATAATGTCAAGTACTGTGAGTGCTAGAGGAGAAGGATATTTTGGCCAACTAGGAGGGAGAAAAGGGATGAGACATCCTGTCCCATTCTGGACCAAATTCATACTCCTGATGATTATGTTAGCTTCCATATCTTGCAAAACTTTATGGGAAAGCCATTATATAAGATTTACTTTGATTTTTAAAAAAGTTCTTACAGCTTGAATCCACACAGAAACTAACTGCTGCAGTTCCATTCTCGCCTGAGTTGACAGTTCCAAGATGCGTTCCCTGTGCTCATGGCTGGTGTAGGCAGAATCAGTAAAGTCCTCTGTACGCTCCAAGATGACTTCCAGTGTCATAGAAAGGTTCTCTTTGGACTGAAAATAAAGATTCTCCCGAAGAGCTTCAATATTCATCTGAGAACAAAAAGGACATCCATCCATCCATGGGAGTCAATATTCCCACCTGACCAAAATGGGCTGTAATTTCTAACAGTGCCAAAGAAGACACTAGCATTTTATTTCCCAAGCTGAGGAGAAATACAGCCACCAAAGATATCTATATTGACCACTAACCCAGGAGGACACATTGCACAAAAGCCTTCAAAATCCATGCAAAGCATAATTCCTAGAGTAATTAATACAATGACATTCCTATAAGATCGGTGAATACTAAGGCAGAAAGAGGATCATCCTGTAGCAACCAGTAGGAAAAATGAACCAGCCTCCAGGTAAAAGATTTGCGTCTGAGAAAATGCCTAGGCAAAGTCCTGGAAGATATGTTACACCCAAATATGAAATGTGCTGAGCCCAGGGGGAAGGATGGTGTGGAAGATGTGGGGTGTGAGAAGGACTGGGGAAGGCATCCATTTCTCCTTCATTAATTCAGCAAAGACTCTCCTCATCATGTAACTGGTCTCCCTATATTTTGTTTTAAGTCCCCAATAGCACCTTACTGACCCAAACATGCTCTACCAGCATCTGATACTGCCACCTCCCTCTAATAGCTCCTCACCATCTATAGAGAATCAAGCCCAAACTTCTCTGGCATAGCACAAAATCCTCTATGGCCTGTCTTTATATACCCCTCTAACAGTCTATCTCACCCCCTGAATCCCGTAATAAGCTTTCACTCCAGCCACCCTGTTTGGAGTTGTGACTCTTGACTATGTGATGAACACATGTTCACATGTGCAGTCTTTCTCCTCAGCTTTCTAAATGCACCACCCCATTTCAACAATATAAAACTCTACAGTGCATGAAATATGTCACACAGACAACTTGGACCAAGAGGCAACAAACGGTAATGATCATGATTATGGGCACAATGAATGTGATGATAAGGATAGCTTACATTTGTTTAACACTTTAAAGTCCTTTCATAAGTTATTTTAATTAATCCTTATGTGTGACCCATTTTAACATGATCCATGAGAATACCAAAGTTTGGGAAGGTCAAGAAGCCATAGAAGAGTCCTTGCTTCCCCTCCTCCTCTTGGCCCAAGTTTTCAGGTGATCACTCCATCCTAGGTACACAGAAACTTGTATTTAAGCTAGGAAAGAATATGGATAATAGAAAGGTATGGAATTTACAATGGGGATCTGAGAATTTGAGAATTTAAACAGAATTAAAACATAAAAATCAGTCATATTGACTGCATACCATTTATGTTAAGGTTTTTTATCTTCCCTTTAGGAGAAAACATATACATGTTTTTAGACAGCAACTTCGTGGTGTTTTGTGGGTTTTTTTTTTTTTTTGAAGGCTGTTTATTGATAATGGTTTCATAACATTTGTCCATATATTCATAGTACCAAATATAGCAAAGTATCCAGTTTCCCTCCACAGATTATACTCTCCATCAGGAAAAAAAGTAAGATGCCAAAGAGATAATCACGGACAGTGAGAATGAGCCTATTTATAACAGCTCTGCCTCCAGCACGCCTGATAGTCAGAGGGCAGCAGCCACAGGCAGAGCACTCTCCTCCTTCACCTGCACCAGAAATGCAGCAGCAAGAGGCGAAAGATGTCTCTCACCCTACCTGTTCCCTAATTATCCTTTGACAACACATCTCCTCCCTCAGCATTTATAAAAAGTGAGCATTAGAAAAATAATCTCTAAGATTCCTTTCAGCAATAAAATTTCTAAGGGAAGGTTTGGTCCCTGCAGCTTCTTTCCCCTCAGGAAGACTCAGGGGTAGGACTGGTGTCATATAAACAAACCCAGATGTATAAAGTGAAAGGTCATGGACTTTGGGATTAGAGAATCCTGGGCCTAAAGAAAGGTTCTACCATTTACTATCTCCTCCTCAAAAACAAAACAAAACAAAACAAAAAAACAGTATATAATTATATCCACCTAAAGGTCAGGTAGGGATTAAATAAAATATTTATTAAGAGCAAAAAGAGAAATTCTTTCCATTACTATCTTTCACCCTATGTTCCTACTTAGCCCTTCACACAATTAGAAATCAAAGTGCAATAAAATGGAAACAATGCCATTCTCATCACAGCCCAGTCCATTAGAGAGGTGGGAAATTTTAGCATTTAAATAACTTCTCAGGGCCTTAGTTTTCCCATCGGTTAAAGGAGGGCATTGTACTAGATGAATTCTCAGGGCCCCTGCAATTCAGACACTGCTCTTACCCAAAAAGCATCTTCACCATGTCTCTGACTTCTGATAAGATGTCAGACTTCCCGGAGTCACACTGCCTAGTTTCAAATCCCAACTCTGGTACTTACTGGCCAGCAAGTTAATCTCCTCTCTGTTTCTTAAGCTCCTCAACAGTGTAATGTAGATAACAGCAATAGTTTTTTTGAGGATTATATAAGTTCATATATTTAAAGCACTCAGAAAAGGGTTGGCACAGAGTAAGAACTCAATAACTGTTAGTGTGTATTACTGTCTATATTTAAATTTTAATTATTGTTAATACTATTACTATAGTCTCAAAGTATCAACCCTCTAACACAAAGAAGAGCAGGAATTCTAGCAGAAATGATTTGTTGCTTGCCATCATCCTCTGGATGGTATGGCACTGCTCAAAAAAATTGGACGGGAACATTCTTTTAAACAGGAGTCTACAGCTAAACCACACAGCTAAACAGGGCCAGAATAGCTGCTATAACAAAGACCAGTGTTCTTTGTAAATACAACTCTAAGCTAAATATTACTGAGCAACAGGTTTGTACAGAGTGGCATTGCTTTCAATAGATATATCTGCTTTTGTGAAGCATTGTTCTAAAACAATAAACAAAAATATGGATACTATACATAATGATGCTCCTTTAAAACAGAAAAGACTTGGTGCGGTGGCTCATTCCTGTAATTGCAGCACTTTGGGAGGCCCAGGTGGGCAGACCACCTGAAGTCAGGGGTTTGAGACCGGCCTGGCCAACATGGTGAAATCCCATCTACCAAAAATACAAAACTTAGCCAAGCATGGTAGCACGTGCCTGTAGTCCCAGCCTCTGGGAATGCTGAGGCACAAAAATCACTTGAACCCAGGAGGGGAGGTTGCTGTGAGCAGAGATTACGCCACTGCACTCCAGCTTGGGCAACAGAGCAAGACTCCATCTAAAAAAATAAAAATAAAATAAAATGAAAAGAAAAAAATCAAAATATAGTCTCTTTATTCTTACCTTGAATTCCTTAATTCCAGTAAAAATATTGATAGATGAAACGTCAGTCTCTCCATTCGATTTACAGTCAGTCACAATTTCAATGACCTTATCCAGTGCCACTTTCATGCGGACAAATACTCCTTCTTTGTTTTTATGGGCTGATTCGCAGTTGGGATGCCTCAGACATGTCTTCAAAACAATTGAAAATTTTTATTTTAATATTTGATTTATGTCATAACACATAAAAATCTTACAGAGAACATGTCATGCTAAGAAAAATGGTTCTTTACCAAAATCTCCTGGGTCCCTGGCTCACTCAGCTGCTTCTCCTCACTAAAGTGGAAGCAGGATGAGTAAAAAGCGATAGCAAGGTTAAATAAAAAATTCAGAGTGCAGAACTATACCTTTATACTTCAATAATAAGTTTACTTAAAAATTTATTTGGGAAAAATTCTCTCTCTTCATCATGATTAAAACTATTTTAAAATTTTGTCTTACACATGCAAAAAATAAAAAAGAATGAAAAAAATGAACAGAGATAAAATATGATCATGGATGCATCTTGACTTTTAAAATATGATGTAAATGAAAAACTCAAGGGCCTAGAAAAAATAGAGCCTTCTGAGTTGGTTCCACAAAGACTCTGTTTTTTGTGGCTTCCCTGATTCTAGCACAGAGTAAATACTCTCAGAAGAAAAGGTTATTCTAAACAAACTGCTAAAGAGACATTTTACTCATTCATTCTAGAATTGCACCAATTTGCTGGCCAATTGCTGTTTGGAAATACAAGCTCTTGATTGACAAGTTTGTTAAAAGTGAAAAAAGGAACTAAAGGAGTAATTTACAGAAAAAACTAAGGGCTGACTTCTTACCCCACTATACTTAACAGATCTTAACTTGCCTAGCTTTTTCTATAGCACGTGTGCTAGCTCCTCAATAAGAGTGGCAAAACCCTGCAAGCAGTGACCATGTGTGACAGGCCTTAATTCATAGCACCTAATACACCATGTTCTGCTGAGCTGTTCAATCAAAGCTGACTCATAAATTAATTATTATTTGGAGGTGGGGAAGAAAGTTAGCATTCTTATAAATAATAACTGAGATTTAACTATTCAAGCCTATGTTCTAAGTTATCACTTTGATCTTTTTTAAAATGTAAATCGTGTAATTTAAATGCATTGTCATGTTTTCTAATTATTAATTTATTACACAGTAAAACAAAAATTGTCTTACCTTTGAAGCTGTGAGAAGCATCATCGTACACTTTTCAAGAACTGCTCTAGCTGCTGCCATTTTTGCCTTTTTCTTTTCATCTTTCAAATCCTAAATATGAAATAAAATCACAGAAGAATCTAAGATCATGTAAACAACCCAATTTCTTAAAAAAAGTATTTATTCAACAATGATACTCAACAATTCAATAATGATAAGTGGAAAAAAAAACAAGATAAAGTTTTATAAACTGTCACTGCTTCAATATAAACACATCAACACAATATGAGTAGAAAGAAAAGGCTACTCTTGGTTAAGGACTGTAGAGCCAGAAACTGAGATGCAAGTAGAGGCTGCACATGGTCGACATTCTGGTGCTCTGTCATACCTAATATTCTCATGCCAAGTGCATACACGGCACTCCTAAGCAGAAACACCCAGCCTATGTCCTACTTAATTAAAAGTAATTATTTACTGAGCATCTACTATTATTTCCTTCAAAACAGACACTTAAAAGTCAATTCTTTAAGAAGCCTGGTCTAATTAATCCCATCTAACTGCTTACCCATCTCAAATTGGAGTTTGTCTGTCTTAATCTTAACCAATATGTTGCTGTAATATATTCTTAAGACGTTTCTTGGGTAGATAATTTTCCCCAACAAGATTGATTAGGAACACTTAAGAAAGTACTGTATACTGAATTTTTTTTTGGTCGGGGGTAGCTTCTCCTTACAGAGCCCTCAACAGAATGTGTGCTGTTATATAAGGTATCCAAACTTTGCAGATCAAATCTATAACAAAATACTCTATTAATAATTTGGTTATTACATCTAAATCAGTAGTGGGCAACACTTGGAATTAAAGCCCAGATAAACATTTTAGGCCTTTGAGCTATATGGTCTCTATCACAGCTACTCAGTTCTGCCACTGTAGTGTGAAAGCAAACATAGACAATACACAAATAAATAAGAACGGCTGTGTTCCAATAAAACTTTACTTACAGACATTGAAATATGAATTACATAAAATTTTTCCCTGTCATATCAGTCTTTTTAATTTATAAGTTAGGTTAAAAGCCCTTTCTTACAAATAAGAAAAACCTAAAGCTTGAGAATGATTTGGCTTTGAAAGTAAATTTTGCTTGAATAAATTAGAATGGATTCAGAAGTTAGTCCTACAATAATATCACTCTTACTCACTTGCATCCCAATATAAATTTAATAACAGATAGAGATGGAATTACAAATAGTATATGACAAAGTGCATATAATCCCAAAGCTAATGCAGATCACATCCCAAAGAACTATATCCTATATGCGAGTATCATCCATCACAGGTACCTATCAAATAAAGGTTGAGGCTGCTTCTACATTTTCCACACATTCCTCTTGTCTTTAACATTTTGGACAGGACTCCTTTCAAAACCACCTGTGGGTCTAGCTGACAATGTGTCAAGTGTATAGGCCATACTTAACACTTATAAGCCACATACGACATCAAATGCTGCATGGTAAGTGATAATAAGCGACAGAAAAGGATGGCATCTCAACCTGGAAAAGGCTGGTCCACAGGACAAAACAGAGGTGTCCATAAAAACCAGATGGTCTATGAAGCAGTAAGCAAAGCATCCCAACACCTCCAAAAGTTTTTCGTAGGCTTGGGTAAGGCTCTCACCACTGTTACTATTTTTTTCTTTTTGAGACAGAGTCTGTCTCCCTTCCTTGCCCAGGCTCGAGTGCAGTGGTGTGATCTCGGCTCACTGCAGCCTCTGCTTCCTGGGCTCAAGCAATTCTCATGCCTCAGCCTCCTGAGTAGGTGGAATTACAGGCATGCACCACCACACCCAGCTAATTTCCATATTTTTAGAAGAGACGGGGTTTCGCCATGATGGCCAGGCTGGTCTCAAACTCCTGACCTCAGATGATCTGCACACCTTAGCCTCCCAAAGTGCTGGGATTACAGGCATAAGCCACCATGCCTGGCCTTACCACTGCCACTTTCTACACCTTGGCCCAGGTCACAATCATCTCTCAAGAGATTACTGTAATAGCCTCTTGAGTGGTCTCCCTGCCTCTGCCCTTGTCTCCATGCAAACTATTCTCAACATGACAGCTAGAGTGATACTGTTAACATGTAAGTCAGAAAATGTCATTCTCCTACTCAAAACCTCCAATGGCTCTCCATGTTACTTAAAGCCAACGTCCTTACACAGTTTGGCCCGCCTACTATCTCTCTGATTTCATCTTCTTACCCTTCCCTTTTGCTCACTTTGATCTATCCATTGGTCTTTGTGTTCTTTGAACACACCATGCCTGTTTCTGTTTTATTGTCTATCTCCTCCCACCCCTACTATAACATAAGCTCCATGAGTGCAGAGGTTTTTGTTTCTTGTATTTACTGTTGAATCCCCAACACCTAGTGTAGTATTTGGTTAACAGTAAGCAGCTGATGAATATTTGCTGAGAAAACTGAGAATGCCCCTGACCTATAGCTATTTGCAGGACATTTGGACTATTCTAAGGGAGAACGCATTTGAACCCTGGATGCATATCCCATAAAAATGACCCGGGAGTAGCACTTATCAAACACAAAGATGATAAAAAGGATGCCAGTAAGTTTCTGGGGTCCCACATCTAATGAGCTAAATTTTTAAAAATAGACACCTCTTCCGCCAAAAGTTTTTAAATGTTTGGATCACAATATTACAAGAATTGAGAAAATCAAAATGTTCTCCATGCCAAATTTCTAACTACAAATCCAAATGGTGGTGAAAGTTTTTTAGTTACGTACAGAGGCTGAAGAGGATCCTGCAGGAAGCATAACTGAAGGACGGTGGCTTTAGAACCTATGACTGATGCCACGCTTGCTCAAGTGGTCAAGAAAATGCTAGATGATAAGCTATTATTATTATAAAAATACTCAAGCTAATAATTTTCATTGGGGAGAATGAAGAGAAGAATGAAGACTAAGAGAAAGAAAAAGAGAAGGAAAAGAAAGAAAATTTGTTTTATAAAGAAAAATACTGGCAGACAGAAAATGAAACAATAAGGTATCTACCTATAGAAACATCATTAGTATTAGAAACCAGTGCCATTATTTAGCCTGCCACTTTCCAGACCAATATCCATCTTTCAACTCCAGCTGCAATCAGGAAAGTTCACTGAGAGAATAGCCTATGGGACTATACCCAGAAGCATCTCAAGAAATGGTCAATTATTATATATATTTAACCTGCTGACAAGACAGACTCCTACACAAATACCCCAACAAGGAAAAGTCGATCCTGGATATAATATGATCTTCTGTCTCCCAAAACTGAGGAACTAATTGCCTGAATTGGGGAACAGACCCATAAAGAACTAATATTGGCTGGGCGCGGTGGCTCATGCCTGTAACCCCAGCTCTTTGGGAGGCTGAGGCAGGCAGATCACCTGAGATTAGGAGTTTGAGACCACCCTGGCCAACATGGTGAAACCCCATCTCTACTAAAAACACAAAAAGTTAGCCAGGTGTGGTGGCACATGCCTGTAGTCCCAGCTACTTGGAAGGCTGAGGAAGGAGAATCACTTGAACCTAGGAGGTATAGGTTGCAGTCAGCCAAGATCGGGACACTACACTCCAGCCCAGGTGACAGAGCGAGACCCCACATCAAAAACAAAACAAAACAACCCTAATATCATGTTGTAGTTTGAGAACTACAGGCTTTAGAATCAGAAATAACTGAGTTCAATCTGCCAATATAGTGACCTTGGGAAAGTTTATCTTTGTCTCAGATTTAGTTTCTTTATACATAAAACAGTAGTAATAATACCTATCTCATAGGTATGTTTCGAGAATTAAATGAGATCATGTATATTAAGTACCTAACACACAGGCAGTGCTAATAAATAATGGCTTGGCTTATTACTGTTAATCTAATATGGTAAGAATAACAGATATCTAACAAGATTCTATAAGAATACATATGATGGCTCAATTTAATGTGTCTGAGCCCTGGTAGAGGAATCAAATGGAAAGCTTCATAAAAGAGGAAGTAACCAAATAAAAAGAAATAAAAAGAGGAAGTACTTGAGTTGATCCCTGAAGGCGAGTATGACCTTTCCCAGTGTGTGAGGTGGGAACAAAATTTACTGTTATACATGTACAAAAAAGACATACAGATCTACTTATTTTATCCTAGCTTATTTATGAAAGGCTTTCAAGACCAAGGCTATAGATATAATAAGAAAAGAAACCAATCCAAATGATCCTAAAGATCAAACCTCCATCTAAACTAAAAAGCATGTATTTATCTGAAAACTGTAAAATGTGGTAAATACTTACATTTTGTCTATCTCCACTCAGATGTGCAAACTCCACCATTTCATTTCCAAATTGACTGAATATTTGGACAAACTCTTGAAAGCTAGTCACTTTCTCCAGTCTTTCCATAGTTGCAAGAACCTGCAAAGCAGAGAATATCTCATTATTGGGTGATAGCTATGAAACAGACTGAGATTGTCAAGGCTGAGCAGAAAAAAAAATGAAAATTCTGAATTCTAGGGGAAAACTGAGAAGGAGGAGCCAGATTGAAGATAGAGAAGGAGATGCTCAGAAAAGTAGTAGATTCAAGGCACAGAATTATTAGGGGAATGATTAGTTTATAGGATGAGATTTGGAGTTACTTGAAAAGGAAAAGGAAAAAGAATAAAAGAAATGACTAAATATACAAAGGAAGGTATCATTTCTGTAGCCAAGTCTAGACGGTGGGAATGGGCAGGACTACAGTAATCAAATATTCAGAGAACTAGGAAGGGTGAAGATGAAAGACAGCAAGCTTTAAGGCTCAGTGAACCAGGATGACAGGAACCCTACCATTCTCAGGAAAGCAGCAGGAACCTCATCATCTACAGAGTAAGGAGTTGAAAGGGAGGTATGGGGTTTTAAGAGGAGGAAAATAGTCTGGCTCAGTCAGGAATGGGCCATCAGGGGTTAATAAAGAGTGTGAATCTGTGGTAGAGCCAATAACTAAAATGTTATGTGTTTTCTTGATGTAAGAAATAAAGTAAATAGATGTGAAACATATTTTCAAATACTTTTCTTTAAAATAACAATACCAGGTTGTTTTGGTAGAACAAGACAGGTTAAAAAAACACAGATATCCTGTGTTGACTTATTTTTAATGAGAGTATGATGAATATTTGGCATGTTAATCTGCCCTGGCAGTTCAGGAAGTTCAGGCGACTAACACAGAGAAGGCACATTGCCACCACTGTGCAGAACCTCCATCTTTCAAAGAGAGGAAGGTTGTTTCTATTTCTCTAGTGCTGCCAGATCCACCTCTCCAATTCCGATTCATTCAACACTCATCAGGTGGTTTTATCCTCAAATCCTATTAGGATAACCCCTTCCCTGGCCAACTGTCATCCTGTTTGCCTAGGGAATTATCCAGAGAATGAAGTGATAGTACCTACCCTAGATTCCCAGATGATCAAGAAACATGACCATCATCTGAGAGATTAACTTCTGGACTGGAAGAGTTTAAATCCATTCTGTAAGTTTTGAGATTATTCAGTAACATTTAGGGACTTTGCATACAGAAATTTTGTAGCTGTGGATAATTATTATTTCCACTGAGTTAACTGTGTCTTAAGTTATATATTGTTAGTCTCTGATTTGGGAGGGAATAAAAAGTACTGAAGAATTCAGCCTTTTTATCATGATAATATATGTATTATCGTGATAAACCTAAAGGTTTCTGCTACATATATCATCATGGTGCTCACCTTTTCTTTCCAACTGTTGTACACATTTAAAGCTTTTAGCAATAAGCCTCAACAAGTGGAAAATGATTTTCTAAGAAGAGACATTACTTGCATTCAAAAGTTTAGGCACAGTATACCCATTATTTAAGAATTACACATACAGAAGAAACACTATTATAAACAATTATAATAGATAAGCATTGCCAAATTACTTACAATTAACCTAAAAAGAACTTCTTTTTTCTGTTTTTAATGTGATAACTCAGACAGGCATAGCCCCAGGAGGAACCTAGGGCCACAACTGCATTCAACGAGTAGATGATCAATGTGTCCTCCAGTTCACATTAATCCTCACAGCTAGTTGCATTCTTCATCATTGCATGAGCCAAGTGATCTACTGTTAAGAATCATAAAACGCACTTTGAACAACACAGAAAGACAAAAATATAGCAACACCAGAAAGGTAAGTACCTTATTTCTTGATGTTATTATCTGTTTAATGACAACTCGGTCTGCCAGCAACAACACCTTTGTCACTGAAGAAAGAAGTAATCTTGCAGCCTTTATAACTCCTGTTTTGTCTGTAAAAATCGTGATCTGGCCATCAGATTCCGCATGGTTCAAGTTGGTTATGTCTGTAAGTGCTGCAATTGTTTCTCCTAACAAGAAAGGCAAGGAGGTAAACTGGCAGTAAGACACACAAATTCAAATCTAGACTTTTCTCTAACCTTGAAGGTAAGGCACAATGAGGAGAAACTCAGCTTTGGAGTCCTACTTCAGGAACAAGAAATGGTTTCATCTTGACGATTGTAGGGGTTATCATACAAAGCTTTCTAACCAAAAAATAATATCACATTCTTAAGAACTGTGACAAATTTTGCCCTCACTCAGTTTGAAAAACATCATAATTTCTGTTTCCAGTGGTAATGCAAACTATACAATCTAAAAGCCTCCTGCCCTACAAGACTGTAAGAAAAGTCCCAGGAGTCAAAAACCAAATACCTAAAACCAGAGCAGTAAGCAGGTGCCAAGGCTTAGGCTGGGGCCAGGCCGGGGAGAACTCAGGGGTCACTGCTGATCTCCACAAGCTGAAGGGGATTGGGTTTTCAGGGATCCTCAGGGAGAGAAGAAAGATAGGGCTTTGGGCCCCAAGGGATGACATCTTCAATACAAAGGGGGCCTGGAAAGAACTGCCAACAGGCAAAAAGAAACAGTAAGGAAGTTCATCTATCTGTCAGCCTGGACTCTGCGTGGGGAAAGCAAACAAAACAAAAGCTCCCGCTCCTGAGAATTCAAACCACAGGCTGGCCCTCCTTCAGGCTGCGGTTTGAATTTACATAAACTTCTTACGAAGCCCGGCACAAACCATTCTATTAATTGAACTCCCAACCCTCTAGAAAAATTATCTTCTTCACTGTTGCTATCAAAACTTTTGATTTCTGTAATGGTAATTATCTACAACAATACAAGTGTTTGCTTCCTCAAAGAAGAACCAGGCTACAATATTCTTTAAACCTCCATACTTGTTAAAGTTAAACAGAGTTTTAAAATAAACCTTTAACCAACTTAGAGTGTTCAAGATCATTTTTTAAAGTCCTAAATATACCTGTGTGCATAACGTAATGATTTTCTTACAAAAGCCCTCCTGCCAATTCTGTTACATACACACAATAATGTGTCAGCTCACAGGCTTAAGGATCTTGAGTAAAAAGTATAGGAATCTTAATGGAGAGGACACAGGGTGAAACATGATAGAAGTCAAGGTTTAGAAAGATCAGTCTGGCAGGCACAGTGCCTCAATGCCTGTAATCCTAGCACTTTGGGAGGCCAAGTTGGGCGGATCACGTGAGGTCAGGAGTTCAAGACCATCCTAGTCAACATGGCGAAACCCCGTTTCTACTAAAAAAATACAAAAATTAGCCAGGCATGGTGGTGGGGGTCTGAAATCCCAGCTACTCAGAAGCCTGAGGCAGAGAATCACTTGGACCTGGGAAGCGGAGGTTGCAGTGAGCCAAGATTGCACCACTGCATTCCAGCCTGCGTAACAGAGTGAGACTTGGTCTCAAAGAAAAAAAAAAATAAAGAAAGAAAAATCAGTCTAGTAGGAGTAGTAGGAGTACATAAAATGGAATGGAAAGGAAAGACTTAAAGCCAGGCAATCATATCAGTTGTGGGTATGAAATAGTAGGGACTTTACTAGCATAGTAGCCATAGGAACATTAAGAAGATGATTTGGGAGACACTTAGAAAACATAAAATTAGTACCTGATCAGTGATAAGAAGGAAAGAAAGAGTGAAAAAATGGCTTCAAAGTCTTAAATCTAAGTTGCTTAAAGAAAATCAGAAGGGCATCGGAAGGGAAATGATCATTTTACTTTCAGACAACAGGATTTTGAAATAACACAGGAATATACAAAAGATAAGCCACAAGATATGGACTGCTAATGCAGACTTGGATGTCTTATGTATAATGACAATAGCTGAAGCTCTACCGATAGAGGAAGTCTATGGTAGCCAGCCTTCACGATAGCTCCCCATGATCCCCACCTACTGGTATTCACAATCTTGTGCTGTCCCCTCCCACATCACCTCAGGGTTGGTATGGTGGAAGTGACTGTATGTCATTTCCAAGGTCAGGTTCTAAAATGACTGAGGCAGCTTTCCGGGTTGCTCTCTCTCTATGAGAGAAGCCACCTGCCATGTCATAAGCAGCCCTTACTACAAAGAGGCCTATGCAGAGAGGAAGTTAGGCCTCTGGCCAACAGCCAGCAAGGAAGAGAAGCCTGCCAACAACCATGAGAGAGAGCCTGGAAGCAGACCTGTAGTCCAGTCAAGCTTTCAGGTAACAGAGGCCTGGTCAACACACTAACCACCATCTCATGAGACACACTGACTCAGAGCCACCCAGTTAAGCCGCCTGACTGGTACCCCTCAAAAACTGTGTGAGATAGTAAATGTCTGTGCTTTTAAGTTGCTAAGTTTGGGTTAATCTGTTACACAGCAATAGGTAACTAATACAAAGTTTTGATAGCAAAATATACAGAGAACAAAAGTGCTTAGAATTAACCTTAAGGTATACAGAAGGGGCAGGAGGAAAACTATCAGTTTGCAGGCTATCATTAACAGCTAAAAGGAGAAAAATGTTTCCTCTGATTCTCTGGAAAACGTTAATTTTTTTCTACACCTCTCAACCACAAAAGATACCACATATAAGCCAGAACATATGGCATTATTCAACCTTTCCTTTTTCTGACTAAACCCCAGGCATTTAACTCATAAGTATGTGGGATAGTAACATTTGGTCAGCTCCACCAACATGGTCAAAAGCTTCCTTAACATTATAAAGTTGTTCAAAGTGTAAACGGTTCAGAAATCAGTTCCCTGAAAAAGTCACAAAGCTGTCTTACAGCTTCATGGTTATCATTTTTAATTTATTATATGTAATTACTAGTGTTATGTCTTAACAGGAAAACCCAAGGTCAATCAAACACAAATACTTATTGAGCTTCTATATGAAACATAAATATAAACCTTGCCTGGTAGCCAAGTAAAAAGTAACAATATAATGTAAGAGTTCAACACAGGGAAGTTAGAGTAAAAATTAATTATTATACTGACAGTTAATATTTATTACACACTTACTATGTGTGAAATGATATATGCATTATATCAAAACACCTCTATAAACCCTAACAGTCCCATTTTATTTATTTATTTATTTTTATTTTATTACTTTTTTTAGACAGCATCTCACTCTGTTACCTGGGCTGGAGTGCAGTGGCACAATCTCAGCTCATTGCAACCTCCACCTCCTGGGTTCAAGCAATTCTCCTGCCTCAGCCTCCCAAGTAGCTGGGATTACAGGTGCCTGACACCATGCCCAGTTAATTTTTTGTATTTTCAGTAGAGGCAGGGTTTCACCATGTTGGCCAGGCTGGTCTCTAACTCCTGATCTTATGATTCACCCGCCTCGGCCTCCCAAAGTGCTGGGATTACAGACATAAGCCACCGTGTCCTGCCTTATTTTTTTGTCTTTTTGAGATGGAGTCGCACTCTGTCGCCCAGTCTGGAGTGCAGTGGCGTGATCTCGGCTCACTGCAATCTCTGCCTCCTGGGTTCAGGAGATTCTCCTGCCTCAGTCTCCCAAGTAGCTAGAACTACAGGCATGTGCTACCACGCCCGGCTAATTTTTTGTATTTTTAGTAGAGATGGGTTTCACTGTGTTAGCCAGGATGGTCTCCTGACCTCATGATCTGCTCACCTCAACCTCCCAAAGTGCTGGGATTATAAGTATAGCCACTGTGCCTGGCCACAGTCCCATTTTACAGATGAGAACACTGAGGCTTAGAAATGTTTAATAGATTGCTCAATATCTCCTGCTAGCAAGTAGAAGCACTGGGATTAAAATCCAGGGAGTCTGACTCTAAAACTCTAGTTGCTTTTTTTTGAGACATGGTCTCACTCTGTCATCTCCCGGGCTGGAGTGCAGTGGCACCATTACCACTCACTGGAAATTCAACCTCCCTGGGCTCAAACAATCCTCCCAGCTTAGCCTCCTGAGTAGCTGGGACTGCAGGCATAGACCCCCACACCTGGCAAATTTTTTTTTCTTATGTTTTTTAGAGACAGGGTCTCACTATGTTGCCCAGGTTGGTCTTAAACACAGCTCAAGCGATCCACCCACCTTGGCCTCCCAAAGTGTTGGGATTACAGGTGTGAGCTACCACAAACAGCCAGCTCCAGTTCTTTATCTACTATTTTATATTAGCTCCCTCAAATGAACGCTGTTGTCAAAAGAAGAAAATGATTCGTAGGGGTTGAGTGGGCTAGAAACATTTCAGGAGTGATTTAATGAAGTCTTAAGTTTGTATGTGTTAGAGAAAAAAAGGCTTCTGTATTTTACAACTCCAGAAGGCATCATGCTCATCCTCTTACCTGAGTGACACTAGGAGGAAGATGACATGTGGAGCTCATGACACCTAATGGCTTCCAAAATACTCTGTTTATGGAGCTGCCTGGGCGTATGGTACTCATGTCAGTATACCACATCCTTCTCGCTCACCTTACACTGAGCACAAATGACATGCTACAAGGCCAGCAAGGAGCACAGGACTCAGGTTATCCTTTCATCTAAAAATACTGTACTCCTGCTTTAATCAATGGTTGTTAGGAGAAACAGTAATTTCTTTTATTTCTTTTTTTTCTAACCACAAAGCTTTCTTGCAAAAAGAAACAGTAATGTGAAGAACATATCTACATTTTCTGTTGAATTGTCCATTATGTAATGTCTGTTTCATAAGCACCCACACATAATTTAGTGTCAGGAAAAAAAGTCTCTCTCTCCTCTTACAAGCTGGTTTGTTTCCTTTCAACAAACAATGAGATTATATAACCCTTGGTTTCCCACATTTCTGTCTTGCCTTCCAGGAAGTACAAAGATAAATTTCATGCTTAATTAAAATAGTAATGTTTGCCAAAGTTTCTGGTTTATTTCTTTTTACATCTTATTTTAATAAGTTTATTGATCATGTCTTTTATTGTAAGCACTATCGAATCCTTTTTTAAAGTAGGAGAAATGTAAATTATGAATAGAATAAGGATATCCCCCCCCGCTTTCCACATAAAACCTATTCTCTATCCCAGTGAATGGCTAGAAATCCAAGAGTCAACCCAGGGTCTTCCCTTTCCTTCAGTCAACAAGCTCCTTTTACCTATTCGACCACCTTAAGGAGTTCTCTGTGTACTCTTCCGACACTTTAAAGAGCTATTACAGTGACTTGGCATAGCTGGTTTTACCGTCAAAGCTTCTCTATTAATCTCCCTGCCTTCAGTCTCAACATTCTCTCAGGCTTTCCTCATCTGTTCACTTCCTCCATACTATCAGAAAGAATTCTATCTAACACAAAACATCTGTAAAATTTTCTTGTCTTGAAAAATCTAAACAAAACAAAATAACACAAAACATTATGTCTTTCATCTGGCTCAGAATTTCTCAATGACTCCTAGTATAGAATAGTTGAAATAATCTGTATAACACACAGGATCATATATGGACCTATCTGCCCCTCCACATTTACTTGGTTTTATCCCAGTCGCTCTCTTCCCGCTGATGACCTGCTCCTCCCTCAGAGTTGCCCATCTCAGTAGTTGGCACCACCATTTGCCCAGCTGTTCATATCCCAAATCTTGGGAGTTATCCTGACTCTTCTATCACATCCCACATCCAAACCATCGGCCAATTCTATCAGCTCCACCTTGGCAATATATGGAAACACAGCCACCTTTCACTACCTCAAATGCTACCACCTAGTCTAAGTCACCATCATCTATCACCTGATCACTGTGACAGCCTCCTAACTGGTTTCTCTGAATCCATCTCCACACCCCCTAAAATGTATTTTCTATAAAGGAGCCACCAGTTACCTTTTTAAAATACAAATGAGATCATGTCATTGCCAGCACGAAATCTCCCAGTAACCCCTCATTACACTTAGAACATAGTCCAAAATTCCTGTCCTTGCCTATTCTCACTTTCTCCTTGTCAGGAATGCCCTTCCTCCAAGTATCCACACAGCTCAGGCCTTCACTTCATTGTAGTCTCTGCTCTAATGTTCCTTCCTTAGAGGGTCTTCCTAATCTTCTATCCCAGGAGTTCTCAACTGGGGCCATTTTTACTCCTCAAGGGACATTTCGCAATGTCTAGAGCTATTTCTGGTTGTCACATGGTAGGAGAGGGGACGTTCTGGCATCTAGCAGGTAGAAGCCAGTGATCTGATAAACATCCTACAATGCACAAGTCAACCCCCACAACACAGAAGTATCCAGCCCAAGATGTCAGTAGCACCAAAGTTAAAAAACCCTGCCTTCTCTAAAACAGCGCCTTCATGGGTCCTCTAACACTTATCTTGCTTTATTTTTTGTCATGGTAACTATCACCACCTGACATTACATATTTATTCACTTATGATCTGTCTCCCTCAGTAGAATGCAAGGCCCATCATGGCAGATTTTGAACTGATTTATCCATGTCTATCTCCCTATGATCTAAAAGAATGTCTGGTATATCACCAACATTCAGTAAACATTTATTGAAATAATTAATGGATAAATGAAACTTCAACAAAGCTGCAGTCCTCAAAACACCCTAGGTTCTCAAAGGCTTCTGTGCTATCATCTACAAAGAATTGTGAACCATCATGAAGTTTGATGTCACTATGATTTTTTTGCTATAGAATACTAACACATACTCATGCTTATGTCACTTCCTATGTCATAGAAAGTAGACTAATATGTTCCTAGAGAATAGAGGGCCACAGCTCCCACTTCTCTATGTCTCTCACATCTCAATGGCTGATGGTGAGGAGGGCAGACCACTAACTCTGACCTATGAAGGAGTCCTATGTTTCAGATTTAGGACTTGATCCAAGCGAAGTGCAATATTCGTGGAAGCTAATCCAGGCCTTTCATGTTTGAGGCAGCTATAACCAGAGAGCTATGTATCTTTATTCAAAATAAAACAATATTTTTTTATCATAACCAAAGCAATAACAGTGGTATGAATACTCTTCAAAATCAATATCCACCTACCTGCTTGTTTAGCTTCAATACAGGCAATATTTATTTCTTCTTTCAAATCCCAGTTTTCATTGGCTATAGCTTCTCCCACTTTAACAAATCTTCCAACTGCCAAGTTGACAGCCTGTCCTACACGCTGAATTGCTTGCAGAGTTTTATCAGACTTTTTGGTTTTATCTTTATGATTAATAAGTGTGGTGATCTAAAAATGAAAGAAAAGCAACTTTTAGCTCAATACCTTTTTTAAAAAAAGCTGTATCACAAAGTGAAAGAAAATTAAGCCTGGCATACTGGATAGCTCAGTAAACTAAATCAATAGGGATGTTTCAACAGAGACAAGCAGCAAAGTATCCTACATCATTCCTCAGGACAGTGTTTCCATTAATTACAACTCCAAGTTTACCTGAGGGCAGTTATTTGGGTCATGCAGTTATCTGGAACATACAGTTTCAGAGCCCTCCAGATCTTTCAACAAATCTTAAAGGCAGGAGAAAAACAGGAGAGGATAGATAGTTATATTCACAAAACCAAAGTGCTTCAGGTCTAGTTTCCTCTACTATGACTTGAGATGCTATGAGAATAGAGACAGCTCTTCTTCCTCTCCATTCCACTCCGTTGCCTACCATGATGCACAGCTTGTACAAAACATAGATTCCCAACTACTGCTCAATGTACATGTACTAGTATTAAAAGAAGAAGAACAGAATTAAAAGAAGAGGAAGAGAATCACTTTTACTCTCTGCACAACTACTACGTGCCAAGCAAAATGTATGTTTAGGTATTAATAATTTAGAATTAATAGAAAGACCTAGATTTGAGTCTTGGCTCAGCCATTACTTGCTAAGCGGTCTAGGGAAATATAATCTCTAAATTTCCTCAACTATAATATTGCTTTTCATCAAATTTTGAAAATTTGCCAGTTCCTAAGGATGTATCAGTAATAAGACTAAGACAAGCCCACCCCCATTAGGTTTACAGTATGGTAGAATACCAATAATTCAGTTACACAAAATATATTTGTTGCACACTATCATATGCCATATAAAATTCTAGGTAGAGATGAAGTAACAACCGACAAGAAAGAAAAAGTCCATGTTCCCATGAGCTTACATTCTAGTGAAGGAGTGGGGGAGACCTAATGATCGCATAAATAGGCAAACAAAAAATAAACTTTAACATAACTGTTACGTGCAAAATGTTAGGATAGTGTAATATAAAGTATCTGCGTAGCTGCCTGAAATTGATTGGTCTTCCTTCTATGAGAAAGTGATATTTAAGCTGAGATCTAAATGATTGCGAAGTAGTTAGACCGGCAAACATCAAAGAATAAAGAGCATTCTAAGGAGAAGAAACAGTTGGAGGGAAGAAAAAAAAAAAGCCCTTAGGAATGAGCCTATCCTGTTCAAGGAATGAGGTAAAGCTGGAAGTGGCTAAAGCATAGTGGGCCAGGGGCAAGTTAAAACCAATATCCAAGAGATGGGATGGGCAGGGACCAGCCAAGACTGTGAACTAAAATGAATAATTTATATTTTATTCTATGATTACAGAAAGATACTTAAAGGTCTTTAAACTAGAAAATAATATAATCTTTATAGTAACTGGATGCCACTGAAGGGTTTTTTAAACAGGAAAGTGGTATAATCTCTGCAGTGATTTGAAGCCACTGAAGGTTTTTTAAGCAGGAAAGTGGTATAATCTCTGTCGTGGTTTTAAAACACGTCCACAAATTCTCCCCTCAAGAGGTAGAGCCTCATTTCTCGCCACATGAGTGTGGACTGGACTTGGTGACTCACTTCTAATAAATGGAATAAAGTGAAAATAATGGAGTGCTTCTAAGAGTAGGTCACAGAACACACAGTGACTTTTATCTTATTCACTCACTCACTCTCTGTGGGATCAATCACAGTGGAAACAGGCCAACTGCCACATAATGGAAGGAACTCAAGCAACCCTATGGAGAGCCCCACAAGGTAACTGAAGGCTCTGGCCAACAGACAGTGAAGAACTGAGGCCTCATGCCAGCAGCTGGATGAGTGAACTTGACAGCAGATTCTCCAGCCCCAGTCAAGCCTTTGGATTACTGCAGGCTTGGTCAATCATATTTATTTTGATTTTATGAGAGCCCTCACTTCAGAACCACCAGGGAAGTCACTCTAGAATTAATCCACAGAAACCATAAGATAGTGTTTGTTGTTTTAATGCACTAAATTGCGGGTAATTTCTTCTGCATCAATAGATAACTAATACCGATTTTGGTACCTGGATCTGGGGTGAGGCTATAACAAAACTTAAAATGTGGGAGTGGCTCTAAAATCAGGCAATGAAAGTTGAATGAATTTTCAGTGAATAAAAGCTAGAAATCAAAGAAACTTTGCAGAAGCATGATGACCTTTGAGGAAGCTATCTTAGACAGGGCTGCTATAACAAAATACCTTAAACTGAGTAATTCATAAATAACAGAAATGTATTGCTTACAGTTTTGGAGGCAGGGAAGTCCAGGATCAAGGCAGCAACAGATTTGGTATCTACTAAGGACCCATTCCTCACACGTGGTGCCTTCTATGTCCTCACATGGCTCCCTGAAGCCTCTTTTGTAAGAGCACTAATCCCATGCATGAAGGCTCCCTTGTGACATAATCACCTCCCAAAGGCCCCAACTCTCAATACCATCATGACGGTTAAGTTCCAACATACAAATTTTTGGAGAACGCCAACATTCAGGCCACGGCAGAAGCTATAGGTAAAAGCTTAAGGAAAAGTGAGAAAAATCTTACTGGAAACTGGAGAAAATGGATTCCTTGTTATATAGTGACAGAAAGTCACCCTCATTAACATGGAAAGGAGAAAATATACCGAATGAACTGGGAGATCTAACTAAGGAGATGTCAAGGCAGGTTCTAAAGGGGCTACCTGCTTTCTTTTTGTTGCTTACAGTAAAATGTAAGAGAAGATAGAAATTAAAGGAAACACGGATAAACAAAAATAAGCCAAAACAACAACAAAAAAACAAGCCAAAACTTGTTGGTTTCAAAAACTCCTGCTCCAGATGGCACACCATACTAAAATTAACAATGGCTTCTAGGCAAATATAAAATCCAGAGCAGTGTCAAGAAAGTACCATCTAAAAATGAAGCTAAGGGTGTGACTATAAAATCTTAGATCTCAGAAAGGTTCAAGGTGTTTTTTCAGACAACCATTCAGTTAAACAACAGATCTCCTAAGTAGCTCAAAGGTATTCTTCCTCAGCAGTCCCAGCAGAAGCCCAAGTTAAAAAAGAGCGTATCTCAAAGAGACTTACGGGTATGACTTTTGTCTAGTAGAGTGAATTCGATATGACTCACAGGAGGCAACAAGATTTTTAAGATAATCGTGCTGGCAGAAACACTATTGGCTTGGACTAAAAGTGAATACATCTTTTTATGAAAAGAAGTTTTCATACCAGCCCCCACTCCAAACTTCCAAAGGCAGGGAACCGGCTGAGAAATCTATGCAGCTGCAAACATGAGCTATAATTCATGAAAAAGGATGACTCAGAAGGCAGAACCAAAAGCCATGAAGAACTATTCCCAGGACTTGAGTCTTGAGGAGCTGGCAACATTTACCCAGGAGAAGTGCAGAATACCATAAACCAGTGGCTCCTATTTTTTTCCATTTTTGAACAGCAGTGTATAGCAGTTATTCTATACTTTCTATTTTCTCATGTTTTTGAACAGAAGAGTCTACAGTGGTCATCCTAAAGCTGAAAGAAGTTACACTTAAGGAACTACTACATATAAGAAATCTCTCCTGGATCATATTTATAATAGATGCCAACATCCTGGATTTCCAGCTGCTATTGTGACTTTGGGGAGGATATGGATGGGGAGAGGTTACTTGCAGGTGGGAAGAAGGGAAACAATTGGTGGGCAGAGGTTGGAGTGTAGGTAGTTCTAAAATATGTCCACAAATTATTTTGCTATTCCTCCCTTAAAAAGGTGAAGTCTCATTCCCCTCTCCTTGAGTACAGGCTGAACTTAGCTACTTATTTCTAAGTAGTTGAATATAACGGAAGTGACAGTATGCTTCTTTTGAGGGCAAGTCATAAAGTCACTATGGTTTCCATCCTTCCTTCTCTCTGCTCACCCTAGGGAAAGACAATTCCCATGTCATGAAGACACTTGACTAGCCCAGTGGAAAGGCTCACATGATAAGCCTGAGGAAACTGATGCTAAAAGGTGCTTATTTAAGGTCACACAGCAAATAAGTGGTGGAGTTAGGATTCAGAGTCAGACATTTCAATTCTAGAGACCATCATGAAAAAGCATGGTCTAAACACTACCCTAAACACTACCCCATAAAGTCAAACAACAACCTAATGAAATAGGTTAATATTAATCATCCTCATTTCCCCAAATTGGAAAATGGGGGTAATAATCATCCTCATTTTACAAATAAGGAAGTTGGATATCAAGAAGAGTGAGAGAGTTAGGACTTAAATCCAGATATTCTGACTGCAGAGCCTAGCCTCTTAGCCACTTAGCCATATTGCCTTCTCTGCCTTATAATGGTAATAAGAAGAGCTGGCTGGGTGCAGTAGCTCATGCCTATAATCCCAGCATTTTGGGAGGCCAAGGTAGGTGGATCACAAGGTCAGGAGTTCGAGACCAGCTTGGCCAACATGATGAAACTGCGTCTGTACAAAAAATGTAAAAATTGGCCAGGTGTAGTGTTATGCACCTATAATCCCAGCTATTCAGGAGGCTGAAACAGGTGAATTCCTTGAACCTGGAGGGCAGAGGTTGCAGTGAGCTGAGATTGTGCCATTGCACTCCAGCCTGGGTGACAGAGCGAGACTCGGTCTCAAAAAAAATAAATAAAAATAAGAAGACTTAATAAAATAATGAAAGTATTGGGTTTAACATAGTACCATAAACAGAGTTTATTGTAAGCATTCAAAGACATATTGTAATTAGCTCTCTTATTTAATCCTCAGGTATTATTAAAGATTAAAAACTGAGGCTGAGTGAAATTGCATATTTGGCTCATATAACTAATAAGTTGCCTAGTGTAGAATTTGAACCTAGGTTTAAACTGACAACAAATCCCACCTAATATTCTTTCTTTTACTGCCGGTTTTAAATCTTTCCAATTTTTTTTAATTGAAATGTTACCTAAAAGCCCATTACATAATCATATGAAAAAGTCATAATTTTAACTTTGCGA